GGCGCTGGGAGGCAGCAGACTCTTAAATTTGATTCTTAACACTTTAATGTGTTGCAACAGTTGATCACACCGAGACACTGCAAAAACACAAAAACCTGCCAAGTATTTTCAGTTTAGTTTCTAGTTTCCTCAGTACATTAAAAATAAGACAAATCTACCTTACAAGTTACGGTTTAGCTAAATAAAGGAGCTTGTTTTCAGTAAATAATTCCTTAATATTGATTTAAAAAGTACGTGTTCCACTGGCAGATTACTTCACTTATAACACTGTAAAATGTCTTGTTAATTAAATATGTGGTCAGTGTAACTTGTGTATATTTATCAATATTTGGGAATTATTTACTCAAGACAATCTCCTACATCAACCTATCACGATAAATAATATTTCTGGACGATAAATTGTTTAATATTGATTAATATTGTTTTTTTGAGACCATTTTAAGGACATAAGAACATATAGTCAAACATTAATAAACATTTAACACTGCAACTGGTAGATATTTTAAGTAGTCAAAACACAAACAAAACAAAAGAAACAGTAATTAAAGTGAATTATGAAGTTTCTGTGAACAAAAATTTCCTTCAAAAAATGGTTAGTTCAGACCAAAACATGAAAGTGAAGAGTTTTGTCTTCCAGTTTTTGGTAGAAAGAGAGAAAAGAGAAAAATGATAAATCATGCAAATGGAAATTATGGAGCTTGTTTCAATTTATCATGCATTTGGTTGATTTATTGTTTATTGCAGCAGGTCTACTCTTATGTCTTGCTAAAAAGTTACCTGTAAGTGAATTCATTCTTATTCTAGTGACATTTGCACCAGAAACACTTGGTAAGATTTGGTGTTTTTGTTTTGTGGTTATTTGTAGTTATTTGCAGTAGAAACTAGATGAAAAAGTACTTGGTAAAGTTTAGTGTTTTTGCAGTCTTTAAAGAGTTGCTACACAGACAATACTCAGAAGATGATGAGATATTAAAACTGTCTATATTGTTGTTTCCTGATTTTGTACAATAAATATCAATTGCAAGTTGAAGCTGTTTTTCTCTGCGTCTTGCATCTAATCTCTCTGCTTTGCAGAATTTCTTCATCTTTCTTACATCAGCGCCATAAGCAGATGTGTTGTTTGTGCAGAATAAAGTGATGAGCTGCGAACACTGCAGAGACCTGTTCAGCCCCGTGGGCTCCCTGCAGGCGTCGTCCCCCGGCGGCGACGGGACGTCCAGCGAGCCTCTGGACGAGGAGAAGGACGGGCTGAAGGAGCAGCTCAGGCAGCTGGAGCTGGAGCTGGCTCAGACCAAGCTGCAGCTGGTGGAGGCAAAGTGCCGAATCCAGGTGAGCAGAACCAAACGTGCTTAAAATAATCGTTCATCCACAGGGAGAGAAGAAATCTATTTTAAGAAAAGGGATGTAACCCTCTCCTGCAGTGCATCATTGTTCCTCACTGGGAAAAATTAAATGGGAAAAAATAAATAAAATTTTAGGTTTATTTGCTGACGATTACAATAAAAATCCTCATTTTTCTTACACAGGCTAATGCATTAAATCTATGGAGGCTGATACTTATATGTGAAGCTGATCTTATCCAGCTTCACAAACTTTTTATATGTTTATGTTTGAGTAAGATGAACATTGTTCTTTTATTCTATAAACTACTGACATGTCTGTGAAATCCCAAGCAAAAATTTAGTATTTATTTGCATAAAATGCAAATTTTTATTTGTTTGCAAATTTAATAAAAACTAAATTTGCATCCATAATGAAACACTAGGAAGCCCGGTCAGAGTTCTGGTTCTGTTCTCTGTTTACTCTGTTCCCCTCTCTGTCCTGCAGGAGCTGGAGCATCAGCGAGGCGTCCTGATGACGGAAATCCAAGCTGCTAAGAACTCGTGGTTCAGCAAGACGCTGGGCTCTCTGAAGAGCTCGGCCTCCTCGTCCTCCAGCTCCGTGTCTCAGACTCCGTCCTCTCCGAAGGACGGGCCCGCCTAGCCGGACCTCCATCACTTTGCCCCTCCAACATTCCCCTGCAGGATGCACACTAGCGTTGCGAACAAAGGCTGAAGAAAGTAGTGAAGGAGAAATGCAGTATTCCTTTTTTTTTCAGTGGGTTGGAAAAAGATGAGCTTCCTTAAATTGCGGACGATGAAGAGGAGGGAAAGACGTTCTCTGCTCTACAGCTACTCAGTCTGGTGAAGATGAAGTCCGAAATTAGTTTAAAGTTAATTTGTCACAGGCATCTTACAGGTCAATTAGCACCATCTTGTGGGCAGTTGTTGCTATTGCAGAGAAATAACGGTCAGGATTTTTCTAGTAGCTGAAACTTAAACCACAAAATAGGAAATGATTTTAAATCCATCACAATAGTTTTATACATCTACTATTAAAAACATAAACACCCAGCTCTCTAAAGAAAGGAATACTGCCTACTGTAGTCAATTAAAATATCACACAAGTTGCAATTCTTTATAGTAATATAACGTAAACAATGTTGTCTTATAAATATGTATAACTAATTGTTGACTTTTTTTATTTTAAATAATCTTGTACAGTTCCTTAAAAGAAAAAAGACACAGAAAAGCTCTTATATTTCTTTTCTACTGTTTGGAAGTTGAATCTCATCTCTGTAGATGTTGATGTAAGCACAGTGTGTGACGGATCGGCTCGGGTCCAAACGCCGAGGAGCCAAAAAGTGACGACCTGCAGAGAGTTTCTGCTCACCCCGAACCGTGTCCAACATGTTTTCTGCTCTCAGAACATTTATCTTTTATATTTTGCAACTTTTAATTATTCAATTTGACTATTTTTTCATAGTTAGCACTTAATATTTTAAGTTTAAAGCACCAAGAGGCCAAATTTCTTTCAAACAGGTTTATAACAGCATCTGTTGGCCTTAAAAGTTAGCCGAGTGGAAGCCTGTAGGTGTTGACCCTTATGGGTCTCTTAAAACGTTTCAAAAAATAGTAATCAAAAAGTAGATCGTGATCAAATCACTTTTATTTAAAACAGAAACACAGCAATTGTTCCTGCTGTTGTTAAAATAATCTCACATTTTAATTATTCCAGTTGTTCTGTAGCATGTTATGTTATTTTGATCCATAAATATGGAATAAATTATTGCTAGATTTTTAGAAAATTCTCTTTTTTTCTCTTTAAAGAGTTGATATTAGCTGATTGATTAGTTGGGCTGTTTGCAGTTGTAGCCAGTCTGCAGTCAGCTGCTTGCCAATTAAACTCTCAAAACGGCAATACTTCAGTAGGAGTGATAGGTGGCGCTCTTCTTTTTCACTGTTCAAGTTTAGTGCAAATGGAAATTAGTCAAAATAGACAAACGAAACAAGATGTTTTGTCTCGTTTCGTTGGATAGATCAGATTTCTAGAAATGATGCAGAATTTCTAAGAAGTTTTTAGAAACACAAATTCAAATATTGATCTAAGAAAATTTTAAAACCTTTAAGCTGGTACTTAACTATTGTAATCCACAATAGAAAAAGCAAAACTTTCCTTGTAACATCTTTATTTAAGCTAAAATTATCTCCATAAAGCCAGAAACTCCAAACAGCTGAGCACTCAGATTATCATTCATCTGCTACTTTGCATAATTTATCCCCAGGTAAACAGATTTTATCTCATGATACTAATAAGCAACATGCGGTTGCAGTATTGCTGTCATTGCCAAACCGTCTGGTATGATCGTGCCAACATCCCGTTTGTTCTTGAATTTTTACACTTATTTTAATTCATCTGGTTAAAGCACAAAAGCAGAAAACATTTCATATTCAGGTACATGTTGAGGATGATTTTCTTGCCAAAAATGTAAATTTCGATGCACTTTAGCTTCATGTCAGAGAAGCTGCTTGGCTTTATTCCTCTCTCTGGTTGACACTGAAGTCGGCCTTTGGACTCGGACCAATCCCACGTGTTCGTTATGTGTGTGTTTGCTGTAACTCAAACGTTTGAAGTCGTTTCTTCATCTTCACGTTGCTGCCTTTTCTGTTGATGACTGAAGCAGCTGGCTGGAGAGACGAAAAGCCATCTGAGTATCTGAGAGCATCAGCTGTGCCATAAGAGCCTCTCCACGGTCTTCCTCTGCTCCGCGGACCGTCTGCACCACCCTGAACGTTACTTTGTACCAGACAGATTACGACCTAATCCCAGGATTCGCGTCATTTCTCCATGACATTCCCGTTCTGCCAGTCTGGGAGTGGAAGTGGTTGAATCGGGTGGAGAGAGCTCCCAGTCTGTTATGTGCACTAACCAAACGTGGATATTTTAAACACTATTTTAAAATGTTTGTTTTTATCTCATGACTGTTGCTGAGAAGAGATCGGCCCGTTTCTAATCTAATTCAGTTCATTTCAGAGTCCCGGAAGCAGCAGATGAGTCAGATTAGAGGCGGCTGTCGTTGTGTAGTTTACAGTTTGTTGTTGAGATCTCAGTCTTGTTACAGACGGCTCCTCAGCTGGTCTGACTTCACTGTTTCCGTGTACAGAAACTGTTTCAGCTGCATTAATAAACTTCAGTTTGTTCATTAAGTCTCAGCTTTTTATTGAAACAAAACACTTTGAACATAAAGCAAAGCGTTAAACCAGGCATCGTGTTGACCAAACATTTTTCTGTCAGTGGCTGCGTTTCTATTGACCATGAAATTGCACAGATTCAAAGTACGAAAATTAATTTGCCAATTTTGGAAAAAAAACAAACAAAATTCAATAAAAAAGATTTTGCAACTCCAATGTAAACACTTTTTTCACATTATACAAGTCACATGATCACCAGCCAGACGTTGCTACTGCCAAAAATGACAAAGATGACAGGAAGTAGTAGGAGGATGATGGTTTGTTTTTGTTTCCACCAGAGCTCTCACAGAATAGCACAGTTCATAACAGTATATCTCTTAAAATAGTAAAAAAAACAAAAGAGTCTTTAATATTAGGTGACAAGGCAAAATACTTTAAACTATGGATTTTATTGCAATTTCTCTCAATAAATATCAATAATGCCAGGCATGTTTTCTCAACATTTTTATTAGTGTTTGCATTTTTTTCCAGCTTGTATAAATAAACACTTGCAAGTAATAAGTCAGATCTGTCTCAGATTGTTTTTTTACCCAAAAAAGCATAAGTAAGTAAACTGTAAACAACTCCTCTTGGGTGACAAAACAAAGATACAAAGGAAAAAATAGCGTTATCATTTTCAACATTCCAGGGAATCCAGGAAAGTCAAATATAAGCAAATCTTTACACATGCAAGCTATAATATCAGATATTTGCTAATTAGCTTTTACTTCAGTTTCATGCCCACAGATATATCTCCTATATTTTGCAGGAGTTTAACATGAAAATCCGTCCTGCATAAATGTCCCAACAAGTACCAAGTCACCAAAACCATTAAGGTAATAACTTTATCAGAAGCAAAAAGAGACTGATTTATCCAAACTCACTAAAGTGAACAACTTCCTGATTTCCTATCTTTTTTTGTTGAACTTAAAAGTTTCAGATTATGATTACTGCCAAACCTGCAGAATAAACTTTTAGAACTGTTTCAAGAACATCATGCACTGATTTAAAGATGAACCGATGAGAAACAAAATTATCAGACTGGAGTTGTAAAGTAATTTCTAGGTGAGATTGTGGTGAAACTTCCCAAGACCAAAACTCAAAAAAGAAACACGTAGTTGTTTCAACCAATCTGTATGAAGTAAATACATTCTGCTGCATTGAATATGTTAAACTCTACAGTTGTTCTGGATAAATGCATAAATACTGACACATCTGGACATGTGGATAAGCCTGAGCTGTCAGGTTTTGTGAATACAGATTCTTAATCTTTGCATTCGACGCTGCTCAGTCGGTCGCTGAGGTCATCGAAGTAGTTATCGACGAACCGGAGCATCTGGATGACGGCGCTGAGCAGCAGGATATCAGCGTTCAGGTCCAGCTCCAGCTCCCCGCTGTAGTTCTTGACTGGAACAACGCAGGACAGCGGCACGCCCAACCTGACGCTGACCTCCTGCATCTGGACCACACAGCGGTTCAGAACAGTTTTATCAAGCTTAGCATGAACACTGAGAGTAATTTATTTAAAAGAATCCTCACTAAGTCCTTGATGTATCCGCTCTTATAGATGTTTCTCAGATCGTCTTTCACCAAAGGACAAGCTTCATCTACCTTAGTGAGCAGAACCAGCTGAGGAATCCCTGCAAACATTTCCAACATGCTGTAAAGTTTAAACTTTTTTCAAATTCATCAGTAAAATGATTCAGTGACTGGTTCTACTGACCCAGCAGGTTAACCTTTCTGCGGATAACTTCCATCTTCTCCTCCAGCTTTGGGGGCATAATGGAGACCTTGCTGGCATCAATAACATAAGCCACACAGTGGATCTTGTCTTTGACAGCCGGAGACTTTTGATAACCATGAGTCTCAGCATGAAGAGGAGCAGCGGGGTTGAACTGTCGACGTAAACGAAGAATATGTTAAATTTACTTCATGTAACACACAAGTTATGCTTCACAAACTGTTATCAAACATCCCACCTGGTAACAATTCGGCATATGACCCTTAAGGATGCTGCTGATGTCCTCCACATCAAGCCCCGCCCCTTTGCTGTCCTCCAGGCCCATGGTGTCGCACAGGATGATTGGCAGAGGTTTGCCTTCTCGTCCAGCTTTCACAGAGTAGGTCCGAAACTAGAAAACATTTTAAAAATATACTATTGTAAAGATTTTTTTCCCTGAGACACAGGAAACCATGTAGCTGAGAAGCAGTCAGACCTGAGTGGTGAGGCTGGTGGAAGAGCTGCCAGCGATGGCCTGGCTGGTGACATGGCCTCTGAACACAGAGTTGATGGCGTTGAAGAAGCTGGACTTTCCGGCTCCGACCTGTCCGATGAGCAAAACCCGAGCCTGGGGCACAGAACTGACTGTGGGTTTGTAGGTTCTGATGCTCTCCATCAGCTCAGCCCTCTTCCTGCAGAGAAACATCAAATTACCGAGAAACTGCCAACAGTAAACCTGATGAACAATTGTTTTAAGCAAAAAGATAAAAACTTCCACATATATTGTTTGTTTAACCTCTAATAATCTCTAACAAATGTATAATATTTTCACAAAGCAACGAGATTTAAATTAAATTTAACAGATGAGGCCTCTGTTTACTTATTCACTGATTCCTGAAGGGTGAGAGTTGCACTGAAAACTCATTATGGGTGTCAGAGTAACTAGGGGTTTAACATATTCATGTATAACTTTTCAGATGTTTTTTTTTACAAATAAATTTTAATAATTTATGTTTGACAAAATGTTGAAAAAGTTGAAAGGGAGTAAATACTTTTACACTTACTGAGATTCCCAGACGACTGTCCTCCATGGCTTCTCAAGTTCAGTAGATTCTGGTAAAGAGCAACTTAAT